AAAAAAAAAAAAAAAAAAAAAAAAAAAAAAAAAAAAAAAAAAAAAAAAAAAAAAAAAAAAAAAAAAAAAAAAAAAAAAAAAAAAAAAAAAAAAAAAACACATGCACACACCTGAGACTCGGTTTGTGTTTCACTAAAACCATGATATATGCCTGCGCTCCCATCTCCAGTATTAGGATTCTAACGTCCTCTTTTCTTTCAGCTCTGAGATTATACAAAATAAAAGTCTCATTAACTGAGTTACAAAGGCAAAACTGAAATGTGTTTGTACTTATTGGTCTAAGAGTGATTTCAGTACAGCTTTACAGGGTTGAGTTCTTTAGTGAAATGAACTTTTAACCAATATTTTTAGGGAAATATTTTCCTAAGAAAGATGAAACTTATTATAGAGAAATAATGAAAAATCAAACAAAATTTTTAAAAACCAAATAATTATCAAACAGAGCATAAAAGTTTTCATAATGCCAAAATCACGTAAAGAGTACAGTATTGATTAATATCAAGTTTGAAAAATAGTCTACTGTTTTTTATTTGCAAGCTAGTTTTAAGAATAGCATTCGAGATGATTTGAATTTTGCAAATAAAATGACTACTCAAAAAAGTATAATCTTTATTGTTCTAGGAAACAATTCACCAGTGGAGAATAAGAAAAAGAATTGATAAGAAACAGACTTTCGCAACGGCATTGTTGGATGGTCTCACTACATTTCCATTCAGCAACAGTCTCATTAAACACTCCCATTTAGCATGGTCTTTCTATGAAAAGATCAAGGAGAAAAGATCAAAATTTACCTTTTTTAACCACTGGTTAGATTAACCACTAGTTGGATGAGCTTTTGAATGGTCTTGACCAATGACGGAACAATCAGGCGGGAAAATCTCGTACCATAAAAGATTAACCCAAGGGCAAAAGAAATCAAATATTTAAACATAAAAGGCATTGATCCCAATAAAAGGATACACTATTGTCGAAGCAAGTCTTTCCAGGTCTTCCGATCATGAATCTTAAAAAGAAAGTGGAACAGAAGGATCCGAGAGAAAAATATATTGAAATGAAGTAATGGAATTAAAGCTCTATCCATATTTTACCTTGTCTGCTCCAACAAGTTCTCAATTGCAGCAGCAACATCAGGAACATGTAAAGTTACTACAGAAGATTTTGATGTCGTTTCTCTTGTGGTCCTCAACAACCTCCCCTCCCTCTTTTTGATTTATCCATTCAACAATTTCAGCTGTCTAGGAGAGAATTCAAATATGATCGTCAGAATATATATCATCAATAAAATGAATAAATTTGTCAAAGCCATAGTTTCATATGCTAAAAGGAATGGTACCCTTTTCATATGCTAAATGACATTGGAATTACCTTGAACTTTTCTAAATCAATCTGTTAACAGGATGGGAGTATTCTTGAGATACAATGAGGTCAAAGGAACTGATTTAGAATTATATACACTCCGAAGACTTACTTTCAAAGTTATGGAGCTGGAACTGTTGAACAAGATACAGCTTTCTGCGAGATATCAATCGCTATTCTCACTTACGTACTATGTTACATCAATTATGTGGAATGCAGAAGATTTTGAAGATTATATTCATAAATGCCTCGTGTTAAGATAACAACTGTGCTGCATAATGATTGCTATATAATGCTTTTGGTATAATAAAATCCCTTCCTCATAAATCCTTCTAGTAATAGTCAAGTCTCTGACATCATCAGTATTTCCCATATCATCGCTTCTATTCTAGGCCCTGGATTGCTGTGGTGTTTCAAATAACTAGGGATCTTAATGGTTATAGAAGTGCAGCTATTTCACGGAGTTGCCTTTGCATTTGAAACAAAATTAATGTTTTAACTATCACTAATCCTTTCCCTTTCCCACCTCCACTCCCCACCTCAAAACCATCATCTTTCAAGATCTGTCTTTCCATCTATTCTTTTCTTATTTTAAACTATAATGGTCAGAAATTTAGAATTTTGTATAAATATTTGGGGGATCTTCGCACAGATAAAAAAAAAACCTAAATACACGTACACATCACGTCAATAAAAAGGTAAATTCAAGCATCACAACCTTGTATTTTGCAGCCAAGACATTCTTCACGACGATGAAGGTGAATCTAGAGATGTTTTTGTATGCAATACTCCTCCCATTGCAGTAACTAACTTCCCTGACTAAACCTGCAATTTTGTATTATAATTTAGAAACAAACTTCTATAAAAAGGGGGAAATAGGAACATTAGCAACGTACCTTTTCATCAGCCTGAAAACCGGATGCCAGAATTTTCACACCATCCATAGCAAGGCAACAGGTAAAATCCTGTTGAGGAAGCGGTCTGTACTCTTTTCCACATGACAGCACGCACTGAGGACCCTCCTAATAGCAGAAATTCAATTTTATAGCAATAAATTGCAATGCGATATGAGCTCCAGGTCCCAAGCGACGGACTGAAATGATAATTTCAAACAACTAGG